CAAATTTCAAATAATTTTCTTTCCTAATTTCTATTGGCTGATGCGGTAGTCATTTTCTGATGTAATTCAATATAAAACGAATATAGAAAAAGTCAGGGTATCAGTTCACTAATAAAAAAATGAATGTGATGATTAAGCGTTTTCCTTCCTTGTTTGTTTTGGTAAATTCAACATAAATGGTCACTGTAATTCATGTTTTGTATAGATCATATACCAAAAACCATAAATATCGCAAATGTAGATATAAATTTAAAAATGCAGCAGTGTTCTTTGACACATGGCAAAACAGGACAGACGGGTAACAATTAACTGATGTCCTTTTATAAATTTTATATACCTTCATGTTCGTACTAGCATATTGTTTAGCACGAGGCTGTTAATTATCAATTATTTTCATGAAAATTTGCATGTGAAAATTTACCATTTTCACTGTTGTTACTTTTAAACACGCTTTTCCTTTTCACTTCCGTTTATTAATTTATTTATTTATTTATTTATTTATTATTTATTTATTCATTTATTTCTTACTTTTGCTAATAACAATATATTTTTACGATGCGTTTTAAACGAGACGGATTAAGCAAACTGAAAATAGATTATCAGCATGCGGCAATAAAAGTTATGCCATATTCTACTGTAAACAAACATAGAATTAAGTAAATACGTCAGAATTGTAACCGGTGTATGAAATGGCTTCTTTATTTAAAGCTTATAATTCTTTAGGTTATTAATGTTTCCATGCTTTTGTCATATTTACTGTTTTGTTCCAAAATTTCAGTTTTCATAAAAGTCTATGGGAACTAAAGTTATATTTGTTCTGACTAAAGCAAACTATCGATATAATTTAATTGCAAAGTATAATTTCATGTTTCGCATTGGCATCAATGTGTAATTTCAGTAAACATAAATCATTTTCTTAAACCATGTAGATTGATGTTTAAAATTTTTACCTTTCTTGTTTATTCCCCCCCCCCGTAAACCTTTTTTTATCTTTTCCTTTAAAAAAACATTTCATTTGTTATGTTCTCCTTCATGTCTGCAAACATGTCCGTAAAATCAGCAACTGCTCGTTTAGTGTCACCTAATAACCTGATGACATTATCCTCAGTTTTCTTAATTTCATTCACCATTGTCTCTACCTTAATTTCAGTCCTTATCATTTTCTCTAAAAGCTGTTCTTCATATGCAAATTTAGAACATACAGGTTCTTTAGCCTCCAAGAAATGAGAGCTATACATTCCAAAGATTATTACAAATGCAACTAACGGTATGAAAGTCATTTTAAATAAGGTACTACGAAATATTTAAAAACACTCTGAATCTCAAACCGTTATTAAAACTGTTGCGCTTTATAAAAGGGAAATCTGCCGACTCTTTTGTAAAGAGGCCCATACGAAAACATTTAATTAAGGTTCTTTAGCACTTAGAATCAGGGAACTTTTAACAAACTTCAAAACAATAGCTTAATTTTTTTGTGTCGGCAACATAGAAAAAATTCGTTCTGTAAGAAATGTTATTAAATAAATGATAGAATAGCATAATATCTCAATTATCATAATATAAGATTACCGAGCTGTTTTTCTCCGCATAAATGGTATTGCACGGTCGTGAAATCATTTGCGCTATACAAATATAGAGTAAAGGTGCGCTAAATGATAGCGTAATACTATAAACGTGTTAATGAAAATTGCACATTTTAATTGTTAACAGTTATTATTTTCGGTATGATGTAAATTGAATATTATATGCGTGTAGCTTCATTACAAAATGTATTGACCTTGTTGAATAAAATAAAATTATAAATTTATTCAATTCATTTAATGAATTCAGTATTGGAACTGTGTTGCTTGGTTGTGTTCGGGGACTCGTCCAAAGCCGCCTTTCATTGTTGATCTTGTTCATCATCTTTTGAACTTACATAGAATATCCTCTATTTATTGTAAGAAACAAACATTCATTGCATAAAACATATTCTTGATGACAAATTAATTCATATGAAGGTCGCAGCCTTCGCTATAAATGTACGTATATAAAGAAAATACATATTATGTGTCATTTATCAAAATAAATTATTTTATGTTCGTCCATACATTCTTTCATTTTTTCAATACCTTCAATATTTCATGACAACAAAACAAACGGCTTGGACTTCGATCAATGAATTCCAACCAACAGGAACTTGTGAGCAGTAACGCGTTTTAGAGTGGATTTTTGTGGGTTTTTTTTATAGACTTTTATAATATAAAAAATATTCATATTGCATTTGCATTATTGCTTATAATGCCAACTCATCACATGGTTAAAATTCGATTATGCAAAGACGGTACAATAAGAGAGAATAGGTTCACATGTCTTGAAACGTGATGTCTACATTAAATTACAACAGTTAACCGATAAAACATTTTTTACATTTGAAATAAGTTATACTTTGGCAACAAAAAACGACTGTTATGCGTGCGTTTATTTTGTTGAATGATGTTCTTACAAAGTATCCATAACTTTGTTACTATCTCTGAATTCGATCTACCAAACCCTTATTTTTTGATTATTTGATATTCATTAATAATAATATAATAGAGCTTATCGAGATTTACTTGAATTTCAATAATCTCCACATATTACAATGAAATTAATGAATAACATGTCATTTGTAAAAACTATTAAGTAATGTAATGATATTTTTTATAAGTAAAGTAACACCATTCCCGGACCTTCTTTCAAATAGAAAACGTAAATAATATAATTAATTGTTTATAACATTTTATCTAAATTATCTAAATCATTATATTGTTTGATTATAAGAAATGTTTCTTAGTGGTTCTCGCATTAAATAAATGATAAGTTTTCTCATATTTAACGAGACACTCTGATAAAGACATTAAGGTGACAATAGGTGCCGTTATACTGCAATGATAAAACCGTTAACAATTAGATGTATCAATTAAGAACGCTATTACTTAAAACACGGTGACACAGAGGGGAGATGTGTGTATGTCTTTGTGTTATTTATCTTGTGGGCAGGAGATACTATATCGTGCGCACGAATAACTTAGTCGTGTACACGTGATTATTAAGTCCTGCACACGAGTTACTAATTCCTGCGCATAAGTTACTAAACAAGTCTCGGGCATAATCTTTGGGGAATTTAATGTTCGGAAATCTTATAAAACGATTTCTGTAATGATAGAGTCTGTACAACCGAGGGGTCTGCAATTGTCACTTATGTGCTTTGTTGTTATTGCTCTCGAGAAATATCTCTTTTTCCAGATTTCGATACATATAAACTACATAATGAAGTATCGAATCAGCTCATATAGATCTTATTTCGGCTGTTCTAGTCTATATATCTCTTACGTAACCTTTATGTGATGAACCTTATTTATGATATTATTTTTATTTCCTTTCACAAAGACACTTAATTTAAAATCCTTGTCCAATCAAAGGAATGCGCCTTGCGTTTTAGTCCCTTAGTGGGTAGTACTTTTAACAAAAGTGCTTAGTACTCCGATAATTTTCGTTTTACAAAACTTTGTTTTGATTATCAATTTTAAACTTTTACAATTATTTAATGATGTCTGCACGGTAATATTATTTATACTTTATCAAAGAAATAATGACATATTCAGAGAATCTTTGAGATCTGTGTTTTTAAGCGTATGCATATATGCATGACTCACAGTCCGATAGTTCAAGGTTCTAGTTCTGATTTATAACAAAGCAAGACGAAAACCCACACAGTGTCATATTACAAAACAGGAAAAGTTGGCATATCTCTTCATTCTAGCAGAATAAAAAGAATAGATAAAATATTGAGCGTAGGAGTATATTTTCTTGCTTCATCTGGTTTATTGTCGTCATGTCTGCGTTTTCCTTTTGATGTAAAAAATGTATCTGTTGAATCGGCTAATATAAAATGGGAAGCGTGTTAGAATGATATTTAATGTATTTAGCGGGTTTATTCAGTGATTAAACGAATTTTCATATTTTCATTTATACATCTTTTGTTTAAATGATATAAAGGTAAATCAGAAAATGTTTATTAACATTGTCTTGTGTGTACTTAATCCAAATTCACGGGTATCAAATTTTGAATATGTTAGAGAAAAAATAGCATGTAAAATGTCTGCCAGATCCCGTAGCTGTTGGTAATAATGTTATAACGATGAAAACTACTGTTATTGTTAAGGTGATTTACTCACTAAACCGTGAGTAAATCAATTATTTTCTATTCTCAAATACTTCTAAACAACAAAAACAACAACAAACATTATAGGTTTAGGTCGTTGTATTTGACAGAATTATCACATATCAAGATCAATAATTTCCCTAGTCTATTGCAAAAAAACATCTGCTGAAAAGAGGGCTGTCTCGAATTTCGGCGGAGTCATGATGAAATCAACTGCAAATATCTGAAACTAAGAAAAGACTGTAAAAATAAAACAGAACATAAAAAGGGTGGGTGGGACAGGAATATGTATGCTTTCTTCTGTCATTTTACGAAATGTATTCTGTCAAATACAGACCTCGAGTGACGCTTTTACACATATACTCCCTTATATACAGTACACGCACGTGAAAATCGTTCAAAATGATAAAGGAATGTGCAACAGAGTAAATCGAATTAACGTAAAATCATAAATATTTGCTATAGATATAACAGATACCATAAACTGCGTATTGTTCGAAACGAAAATAATTTCATTTACTCACTAAACCGTGAGTAAATCAATTATTTTCTATTCTCAAATACTTCTAAACAACAAAAACAACAACGAACATTATAGGTTTAGGTCGTTGTATTTGACAGAATTATCGAGCAAACAAAGAGAGAGAAAAATATATAGAAAAACAGCTCCATAAAGAAAACACTATTGAAGAAAATCACAATACATTTCAACTATTAAATTAAAAAAATAAATTTATAACTACATTAATTTAAAGACCAACAAAAGAAAAACAGAATAAACTTTACTCGCCTTAATGAAAATTCTTTGTCTTAAGGGTTTATCAATTTACTAATTTAACTGAAAGTGGGTGGGGTACATGATATTAAGTTTTTATGCAACAATGCCTTAATTTCTACAGTAAAACATTATTCACTACAATAAACAATAATAACAATACAATTGGTAGTAAAATTGAAGAAATAAATCAATGAAAACACTATGAAAACATAAAAATTCTAACCTTCAAAACATTTGTTTGTTGTGATATCAAAGTTTCTGTTTGCAAATAATTCCTTATTTATTTTTTACAAAAGATAAAGTCCACTGCTTGTTTTATGATGTCTTGAAAAAATTTCAAAATAAATCCATTGCAAAAGATGATAAAATGATATTTTTTTCCATCAATTAAATGACATTTCTTATAAAAACATTTGTTTACAAAGTAGTTCTCATTCAAAGTATGGTGTACAAGCTATGCCATAATTAAGTTTGATCAAAGTTAGCTCCCTTTTTTAATTTCAATAACTGGCAATTTCAATTATTCTTATTGCCTACAACAATAATTACTATAAAATCTAAAGAAGTTTAAAATAATATATATATATGTAACTTTCACACAGTTAAATAAACAAAATAAAGAATATTAGACTGATTGATATTTTTTACATGTTTAATTAATCTTTAATAAAAAATTTTTTTTTAAATTTTAATACAAATGTTAAAGAAATTGTTATCCATTCCTATGCAAACTGATACTTTAATCAAGAAAGAGTGAAAATTAAAAAAAATTATATACATGTGCATTTAACATTTCCTTGTACATATTAATCATAAATATAAATCAATATATTTTGGTACCTGTCTTCTAACTATAACTGCTGTACTGAAATTCTCAAATGTAGCAAATTGATCCCAAAAAAACTGCCTGCTATCAGTCAAAGGTGCTTTCTTCTTTTCACAGGATATAATTCAATTCTGCTCTGAAGTATGTCTTGCACACATTTCAATCCTCTTTATTTTTCAAAACAATGATGTATGTATAACAATTCTTAACTGGTAATAACACTTACACAATGACTTTTTGCACTTTGATAGTAATATCACTACATTAATCTTCCTGAAAGCACAACATTTCATGAATTTGAATTCAATGAATACACAGTCTGTTCCCTTTGATCCTAAATAACAATCTACACATCAGTAGGCACTAGTCGACTTGATGTAATATTCAAGTTTCACAATTTCTTCAACATCAAACAATTTTTTGATATCTGTCATACTTTGAAGGTAAATATCAAATAACAGAATGTTATAAAAAATGACAAATGTTGAAACTCAAATATGTGGCCAACCTGTAAAAAGAAGAAAAAAATTTCTTTACTATTTACTGTCATGCATACATAATGTACGTAATTAAATTTATAACATAATGACATAAATATGAATTTGTTTATTTACTGGGCAGTGTAAAATTCATATGACAAATTTCTAGCTTTAATGATGGACGAAGACAAAAAGTGCCCATTTGTATATTCATTCATTGTGAACATGGCACCTGAAAACAACGTCTATCCCCTTACTTATTGAATTGCTTTCTTTAACATAAAATAATTTAGTCTATGTCAAAATAAAACTCCAAGCCTTTATTTTATTGTAATGGAAGGTTTTAAAGGTTATAGAAGCACTCATTAATTTCATTACAATGCCTATCACATATTTGTGAATGTTAAAAAGTTTAAAATGGCTATATATTCACAATCTTAAAATATAACATTCAACCTTATCATATACTTAATTGCTAACATTGTTATTATATATAAATTTATTAATATATGACATACAAACAGATACAATATGGACAATATATGATAGATGCTTTTAATTATGATCACCGGAATTTTAGCATAATTTATCAATATGTGAAGATTTTCAGGAATTATGAAAGTTAAATGTTATTCTAATTAAAAAAATAACGTAGTTAACATGTAATTAATTTTACTTTTAATGCCACATTTCTCATAAAGAACCTAAGGCTGACAAGAATTTTGTGTTTAATTATTTAGTTAAATAACAATATGTTTTCAATGTCATTGTTTATCAACAGATAGTATGTGCCACTAGATCAGCACTTACTTGTTAACAAACTATTTCCTTATTAATACAACATTTTTATGCCTAAAGTTAAATGGGGCTACAACTACCAGTGTGTTTGATTATAAAAACAAGCAACTGATACTCACTCTATATGTCTAAAAACTTTAATGAACCTTCCTGCAAATCAGCAGTCAAACCATCCACTTCGTGGGCAGTTTCTTCACCATTATACAACACCTCATATACAGCTGTTGGATCTCCATCTTTACCTATTTAAAAATTTACCATAATCATCATTTTAAAGGCATTGGTAAACAATGGATTATTTTCTATGAATGCTTAAAATATTGACAAAAAAATATAAAGAAATGGGTATTTTGAAAAATTTATATAAGATGGGCCTTTATCCCTTTTATAATAAGGACATTTAAATACCATATTCCAAAAGAAAATTGTTTGACCCCCCCCCCCCCAAAAAAAAAAAAAAAAAAATTACATGAATTTTTGTCTTGCCAAATTGAAAAATAACTGAATAATAATGCCAAAAATTTAGTACGTGGTAAAGTATAATCAACCTTTATAACAAAATATGTTATTAAAGAAAAAATTGAATTGTTATTGACTACAATTAGTATCTACAGTTATATAATCATTTAATTCTATTTAATATATAATGAAATATCAAATCATTTAACTAACAGTTTCAAACAACATCCATTTTAAATTATTTCATTCTTTTTTGTTATGTATGAAAATAAATAATCTCAAAATAAATAATTTATTGAAATACCTTCAATAACATGCATATTTACTTTAAAATATTGCATTTTATCAAATAATGTTGATTGTTTTCAATGTATAACAATCATGATTTTTACTCATACTTTTCATAAAAATATGCATTTACAATTATGCATAAAGAACAAAACACGCATTTTGTTTTCATTTCAATTTACTCAATCAATTGAATGTTGCATTTAAAAAATATGAAAAGAATGAACACAAATGACCTCAAGTGAGAATGATTAAATTACCTGATAATACATCTAAAACTGTACCACGGTACCACTTTTCTTTCTTCTTCTTATCATCAACAATCCATTTATGAAGGATTTCTCTTCCCAGGAATTTGGTTCGGCTTGACCTTTTTTTCAAAGGCGGAGGCTAATGAAAATGTAATATTGGTAATTATGACAGTTGAACACATAAGAGGAAATATCCATAATTAATTACAGGTTCCAAGTATATAATTGTTTTACTGCTCTCACAGCTTATTATTTAAAGAAAGGCTGAATAATGATAGATTTTGGAAATGGAATGCATTAATATAAATTTATTTTTATGACATAAATATTGTTGAAGTTTGAAAACATTAAATATGAAGTTGGCTCCTTCCTCATAAAGATTCATCATATGTTGACTTATAGTACTGAAACACCTCAATGATCAAGCAACATTATCATGACAGTCTGTCAGAAATCTCCCATATTTTTAAAATATACACATGATGGCTTGAAAAACATATTGTGCTCATCCTTAATATTTCAAATATGTTTTAATTTCAATTTAAAAAGTATAATAAATATTTTTTTATATTTAAAAAAAATGAACAACATTTAAAAATCTCTGTTTAGAGAGTACAAAATCATGTTGCACTACAATACTTTATTTTGGTTTTAAACAAAAAACAAATTACCTGTTTAACTTTCTGTTTCTGTTGACCTGATGGCCCTGCAGTATCTTTGGAAAATGTTGAAGAATTTGTTGCACAAGACTGAGTATCACATTGAACTGAACAACTACTTGAATTTGAATTGTCTGTTGTACTCTTTGGCAATGATTCTGTTAGATTTTTTTCTGGTGCTTTCAAGGACTGATCTGTGTACTGAAATACATGTATATAAATTAAGTTTTATGTTATAATGTTTCACATTGGTTCATATATTTAAATTAGAAACCTAATATATATATTTGTATGTTATGAATTGTAACATACGTTTATAAATGAATAATAGTATGCTCAATTTTATTAAAACATTTAAATGACAATATACATTTAAATGACAATATTCAACCTTTCACCTTAATTAATATTACAGTATGACAATTTAATTTTTTTATTTATTTTTTTTAAACATTTGGAACATCTTATGAATCTTACTGGTATTAAACCTACCCATGGTTTTTCAGGTTGCCTAATGCCAGTGTATGTTCCATATCTTGGAAGTGATAATTCCGGAAGAATAAATTTCATGTAAAAACATTTTAATTTTGGAACCATTTTCCATGTCCATAAGTTTTTATCTCTTTTAATCCTTTCAATATATAAATCATATGGGTTGGTCCTCCTTATAACAAAATCACACCATTCAATTTCAAATATGTTCAGTTGGCCTTGAATTTGAAAGTAATACTCATGTTCTCTTTTTAGTTGTACCTTGTTGTTTGACTGTTGAAGACAAAAAGTTGGTACTTTCCCTATGGCCTGTTTTATCATGTATGTATTTGTCTGTAGCAAATTTTTAATTTCTAAAAGTCCAGTGTCACTTTGGGTTTGAACAATTCCATCTGTTGATGCTGCTAAATATGGATGACTCTTACATATTTTCAATCCAGTTTTAATAACTTCTACATTTCCCTTTTGGTTTCTGTACTCAATTATTGTATTTTGCTCTTGTGTCAAACCTCTAATAGTGTGTATGTTTCCTTGGAATTTACTGTAAAGCATATTTTTTACCAGAGCTGAGGAGACGTTTGTTGATCTTCTGGCCATGACTTTTCCAAAGTTTGAACTTGTCAATCTTATATTCCTTTCTTTTCTCCATGTATCACTTAAAGACTGATCAATTGTATTATTTTGAATATTTAAAATGTCTGTATCTGAAATTTTAACCTTACTTTTTAAGAAATTATCACATAGTTCTTTTAATTTGGACTGGGAAACATCTGGTGAATCGTCTAAATTACTTCCATAATGAAGCTTTCTTTGAATTGTTCACTGCTATGTCTTCTAGTTTTCTTTTTCTTCTTACATTTTTACTATCAGGTTTTGCCTTGTATTTTGATGAAGCATTCAAAAGTTGTGCTTGTCGTCTAACACCACTTAAAAAGAAAACTCCAGCAGGTTCCTTAGTTACATGGTTGAAAGTGGTGGGTGACCATTCAACTCTTTTATTTTTCCTCAACGCACCCCCGTAGCATCGTGCATTCCAAGAACCACGGGAACATCGATTGATAACTTTCCCCCCATCAAACTTTGCTCTAATAGCCATCCAACTTTCACATAAATTTGTGGTGAAATTTCCTATAAGTCTATGACTTTTATCAGCTATTCTGTTTAAAAAAATTTGAACATCTTTAACAAGTTCTTTCAGTTCGGATTTTTGACATTTATTTTTTGATGCATGTCTTGAACTTTCCATTTCTTTTTCAGATGGTAACTTCCAGTACTCATACTGGCTTTCAAAAATGTCATCAAATGATTCATTGTCAAAGTTCAATTCATTATCATTATCATCACCATCATTATCGATTGTATGTTTTACTTTTTTTTTGGCAAAAGTCACTGCATCGGTCATGAAAACCAAGGACATGGTAAACTGAATTAATGATATCTTTTCTCAGTTGCTTTACATTTTGATCTTTGGACCTCATGCGTATAGCACATCTTACGGCTGTTGTTAATCTTAATCTGTTAATTTTTGTTAATTTCCCTTTGCCTTTATAATAGGGTTTTTCAATGACAAGCTTTTCGAGATTTGACCGCAAACATTTGCATGTATGATTAGCACACTCAAGTTTTTCAATTGATGTTCCCCAAACTGGCACCTTTTCCTGCAGTTGTGGGAACACAGAGCTGTCTCCATCAGCAATTATTTTGGTGTACCTTACTCCATGCGATGTTTCTGCTTGCAAGAAACCATTTAAAATAATGTCAGCTTCCATTGCCTGAGAGCTTTCACTCCAATTTTTATAACAATTATGTGATTTAGGTTTGACTGTCTTATTTTTGGCCTGCTTGCAAATAACACATTGCTTATTTCTTACACCAATATACAATAATTTTTTGGTTTCAGCTCCAAAAATGACACCAACTCCACCATAAGCATTGTATGTGTGTTTGCGTGTCCGCTTTGACCACCCACCATCACATATAACAGTGATAGCCGGAATACCATCATGAAAATTACCTTTCTCAATAGCTATTCTCCTCTCCTCAGCTCCGGCCTTTCCCATTTCTTCCTTTAAAGCATCCTCCCACCATTTTCCAATTTGATCTTCCAGACAAGAAAACATATTTGAAGTCAACTGGGGTATGTTCATTGTTGAAAGTTGTTCCCTTATGTCAGTTGCTCCACCACCACTAGCCATAGTTCCCCATACTGCCCTTACATTTATATCATATTGACCGTTTTCTTGTTTTTGGCTTGTATTTAAGCAGAATTCTTGTTTACAGCCTTCACAAATAGCTAGTAGGATACTTAATAATCCACTTTTACATTTCTCAGATCTAAGAATGATTGGGGTTTGCCATTTGCAGCCAATGCTCTTGCTTTTTCACATATGCAACTATGGGTCGATATAACTGCGACATGGTCTTTTAAGTTCTCTAAATTTATTATTCTGTATCCAGATAGAGGTTTTTTGTTTAGAAATAGTTTAAACTTTAGGGAGGTGCTTCCAAGAGACAGTAACTTTGAATGTTTGTCTCGGACGATTGGAATTCTCCGTACAATAAATTTAGTGACTATATTGTTACTTCCAGTCCCTGACTTTTGTCTGACAAGTTGGTATGGTTTATATTTATGATCTGTAGGTTCATTTCTAAACATAAATATTTTCTCCTGTCTTTTCAAAAGGAAAGCTTTCTCCTTTTTTTTTAGCATAACGGCTGTTTCTCCCACAAGGCTGCCCAAACAATCTTTTTCTTACTTTATTACTGTCCTTGTGATAAATACCCATAACTTACACCACAATATTATAGATAGCAATATGAAATGTCTTTCACAGGGTTGATATAAGTTTTTTTTCTTGAAAAATACTCGGTAAAAAGATAACATGGACTTTACTTTCCACCATACTTGTTTACATTGTTCTACTTGATTACATTTTAATTCATTCATGTCTAATGTTTACCATTTTGTTTACAGCCATACTAACCTTACCTGTTGAAATCGCTTGCCGATTTCAACAAATCATTAAATACATATTAAAAAGGATCTTATAAGGTTTAAAACTGCAGCAAAACTTACCTCGATTGTTAATAGTGTAGGCTGCAAAACGGTAAAAATTAATCAAAACATCAGATTGGCAGCATGGGAAAATTTACAGGAAGTAACCAAAGGACATCCACCGACAAATATACACTGAAAAAATAGTCCAAAAATAATATAAAAAAGTATGTACTAATTTTATGTCAGTTAAATGAACATTTTTGATATTTAATAGCAAATATCTCTTAAAAATATTAAAAATATGTAATTGCTTAATTTCTAGTATTGTACATAATAGAAACTTAATCAGAAATAATAACGTTAATAACTGTTAGCATGTAATCGCAAATTCTAAAGTAAGAGTCTAGGTTCGAACCCTAACTACTATCGTCTCCACAGTTGCAAGATTGCAGTATAATTGCATATAAAAGATAAAAAAAGGTAGGGCTTTTATCTCAAAATAAAAAGTGATGTATTATTTTTGTATAAAACAAATTAAAATAAATTGATTATTATTTAATAAGATTTGCACTATGAATGTTTTAAATCATCAAATTTCAATACAATCATGTATTATAAATCTAAATTTAAAGATACAGATAATGTGTTTTGATAAATCATTTACAATACCATCTTTAGCAGTCGCACACTTCCATCTACCATGCCTTTGCCAAAGTCTATCACTTGTGTTAATAATAACACAATAATGCGACTTAAACTATCTGCCCTATTTGCTGTTTGTTGTTGTTGCATGCCTTAGTCCACAATGAATTGTTGTTGTTGTTGTTGCTGCAGGTTGAAATGAGAAGAGGGCGTGGCGACTGGTCCCAATGCTCCATGACCACGAGATCCGATTCTAGATGTTGCGACCCCGTATTCGGTGGCACAACCTGATGAGAGGTGTCCAATTTCTCCACATTTATAGCATACTACCTCCCCCAACTGCACGAAGCGCCGCCCCATTGGTCCCCCCTCGAATAGGGGGTGCTATTTCCTCTATACCTGCGAAAAGAAGACTGTCCAATAGGGCTGAAAATATCAGAAAACACAGCTTTCTTACGTTTTTCAATCTTATTAATAGCTCTTTCCTCTGCTTTTCTAATACGCCTATCATTATCCGAATCAGATGCAAAGTCACACAACTCATACTCATTAACTGTACCCCACCCAGCTGAGGAACTATCAGCAATATGAATAATTTTATTTCTATGCTCTAATTTTTCTCTTGCTTCCTTCAAAACTTGCTTAGCTTTTGAAGCATCTCTTTTACTAACTGCTCTATCACAAATGTCTAACAGCTCTAAAATTCTACAGTTAAAATCAAATTGCTTTTTATTTCCAGCATTGGAGAAAGAAATTGAATTGTTAAGTCTGACCTTCTTTCTTGAAGTTTCAGCTGTCCACTCTACTTCTGCTTTCAAATCGTGTTTCAATCTAAAAACTTCTGTTCGAAAATTTCTTGCATTTCTCCAATAAGAGCCCTCTTTAAATCTGAACTGCTTTCTTCTGTCATTTTACGAATTGTATTCTGTCAAATACAGACCTCGAGTGACGCTTTTACACATATACTCCCTTATATACAGTACACGCACGTGAAAATCGTTCAAAATGATAAAGGAATGTGCAACAGAGTAAATCGAATTAACGTAAAATCATAAATATTTGCTATAGATATAACAGATGCCATAAACTGCGTATTGTTCGAAACGAAAATAATTTCATATAGTATTGTATGTCACCTAAGCATGAACTTCTCTGTATTTTGTATAATTAAGAAGGGGCAAAAGTCAATGTTTTCTGCTGACGTGATAATTTTTATAGCATAACGGCAATGTCTTCCATGTAATAATATTATTACGTACTCCTATTGATTTATTTTAGACCTTGGTGTTACAAAAGGGCACGTAAACATATAAAATTTCATTATTGTAAACGAGTTAAGTCATGCGATAAAATAATATCACGTCAGCTGTCATGACCATTTTAAATTAAACTGTCTAAGAAAATTAAATAACCCTCGCCACAAATTTGCTTTATCACAATTTGTTGAACTCGTTCAACTTTTTACCTCATATAGGCGTGTTTAAGTGCAAAAATGCCATATTAATGCCCCAAGCACTGTTTTCGTTTGTTCAAAAAAGTGATCACTATTTCGGCGCCGCCCTTTTAAAAAGGGTACACCAAAGGGTGCAAGAGGGGATGTGCCCCTTCTGTTTGGCGGTTGCAAGGGGGTAAGCAGCCCCCCTCATCGCCAAGAAAATTTTGGAGTTGTGAGTGGAAGAAACAACACAAAATATGAGGATATACATAGCATATAGATATACAACGAACAGTGTGTGGACTCATTAAACACAATAAATACATAAATGATTCTAAATGAGAGGTAACATGTTGAATGAATTTAGATATAACATATAAAGTCAACAGTAGTAGTTATATATACAAAAATCTATGCAGCATTGTTTGTCATATCTTATGTTTAACGAAAAATAGATGTAACGGTTTATTATTACAAGTTTACAAGTTTATTTCATACTAAGTTCATGAATAACATGACAATATGAGCTATAACATATTTACATAAAAACTATAGAGGCATATATAACACGCATATCTTGCATTTTCAAACGAGGGGAGACTTTTTGTATTCCATATATCATCAAATAAAAATGATGTTGCTAATATATAAGTATATGCATATTTTACGCACATAAAATCAGAGTATTTTATTCAAACTTTGTGATATGAATACAAGTTTTTACTGCACTTTTAAACGCATTTGTGAAAAAAATAAAGTAAGTTCAATTTTTGATTAGCTCCAAGCAAATACTGTTATCTTGCACATATATTCAATTGCATGCTTTTACACATACCTTGAAATGTATTTTTAAATACATAAATATCTGAGTATTCTTTTAACTTTAAATTATTTTCACTTCAAGTGTTCACAGTCAATACGTACGCAAAATTATTTTGACGTCGTAACGAATAAATGCAAAGTAACGACAAAATAAAATACTGGAAATAGGGTAAAGATTATTGGTGCTGTTCACAAACACAAAATAATGCTACGGTTATTATGATTCCAACATGATTGCCTTATATAAGAAAACAAGAAATAGTATACCGATTCTGCTAAAATTGGTGTTCTCCTTGATTAGTCCCAAAATGACGAAGGATCAAAGTGCTGTGAATATTTGTTTTAAATGGGAAAATAAATAGTAACGGTAAAGTTATTATATCGGTTAAACAATATTATAAGTCATATTTTTAAAGTTATACACCCGAAAGTTTAGCCGTCCCCTAAACATGACAGTACCTCTTTCTAATGCGTTCAAAGTGCTTTATGAATATTTTCTGGGAAAATGAAGTAGTAACGGGAACGTTATAGTATCGGTAAAAGTAACGATCTTGGGCTCGTAGATGTCATCCTATTATAACATTAAACGGCAGGCTAAACGTACATTAAGACAGATTTAATGAAAATAATATGTACTTTAACATAATGTGTCTATGCGTCAAAAGTATTTTTATAAAGATTTCATCGCTAAACTTGATTGTTAAATACCCATCACATATTAAACATAAGTAAACACTTATAATATAAAACGGCATTTAGATAATGTTTAAACAACCCTCTTCATTTGAAAGCGCGTGGTTTAGTCCTTTAGTATTGAGACAATTTAACATACAATCAGTAACTTTTTTACAATATGATTTTCTTTAATAGATACAAATTTAGATCAGTATTGTATTGTCTTGTATGTCACATTTAATTATTTTTGTGGCTTTGCAGTAGACATGTGGCATCCTATGCATAAGGTCCCATAAAAAGCATTAGTGTGTGTGGTTTTCTTGTGATTTACCACCGCCGCCACTAATTGTATCCAGTCATTAGTTGGATGCTGCAGGTGTTCCCATGCCTTTTAGCACTTGAACTGTCATCTCCCCATCTTTGTTTCCCTTCTTACCAAAACGCGCATTTGCTGTTCACGTGTTACACCATAAAATGAGAATAACTCGGAAATTATTGGATTCTGTATAAGAATGAAAATAAAACCTATAATTAACACAGAACAGTTGATATTGATTATTCTGAATAACAGGCATTATGTCGAAATCTTAGTCATCTGATTTAAATATGAATCTGGAAGTGTGCATATTGTAGAAAATTCACACACGAAACTACAAGTAAGTCGCTTTTGATATTCTAGATCAACTGATATTAAAGCTCATGTTAGCACCTGAATCTGTGGCAGTAGTTCAAGTTTCAATTATCTAGCTCTAGGGCGAATTTCAAATCTGAAACTGTGCATATAGACCGATTGTAATTGCTTTAGCTCTTTAAACTAAATGAAATTCACTGAGTCAAAATAAGGATCTATGTAAATGTTCAGTTCTGCATTTGAAACTGTGCTAAAATATGAAACCATAATTTAGCATACCAAAAGTAGGTCACTGGCTCGAAATATAGTTCAATATAATATGTCAATGTTCAGATTTGCATCTATAAATGTGCATACCTTTAAACTTGAAGTTTTAAAAATAATAGCTCACAGGATTTAATCAAATATTTACTATCTTGCACATATATACACATGCATTTTTGTATACATACCTTGTAATACTTTGAAAGAAGTTTTATGTACTGTAGTAATGTGTTTACGTTTAAGGAGCAGAACAGAATAGAAATCCAACACTATAAAGATATACTATGTTCATCTTGAGTAAAATAATTCTATTGCAGAAATCATACAAATTACACTTTGTATTCATGCAGTGTTTATTAACTATAATGTGTAGCGTTTAAAATAGAGAGGAATAAGAATCCCTAAAGAAAGCCCAACACGACAAAATTGAAAATGTTGCAGGCTCGGTTTGATTGAGCCTGTTCATGGACGGTACTGTCAAGTGCATACTACCGTCCACGCCCCCTAGCACCGGCTTAAGCAGAATTCAGCATTTAACATGAACTGGTCAAATTTAGAATTTTGAAACATCCGCAGATGTGTTCACGTTGACATATGTACTATGTGATAAAACTTGTTTTTTACAATTTCATAGAGATTTGAAATATCCAATTCGAGCACAATTGAGCATATATTAATATATCTTTAAATAGATTTGTCAAAATGTTACTACGATGATATTAAAAAATGTAACACATGTATCGTATATTATCTTAATGTCATTCATAACATAATCAGATTAAGAAAACAATATTGTTTGTAAGCGTTTGACAACAGAGAGTTATAACATAGTCTACCGCTTTAAAACAGTAAGTGGAATTTGTCGGCAAATATGTCATTGTGTGTATAAACTGATGTACTAAATTTGATTTTTTGTAAAAATATGTTCCTTTTTCCCTCACTTTAAATTAACAAATTAATACAAGTTTTACAATTGATCTAGACCTATGTGTACAAAAATAATTAAAAACAATAAGTTATGAAAACAATGTCAAGTTTATTTCGTATTTTATCAAAATGTTTTGGTATTGATGTTTTATGTTTATGATATGTAATTTTGATGTAAAACATCGTTTATATTTTTACCTCCTCGTCTTAGTTTCAACAGACGTAACCTTCATACTGATTTCACGAAGCTCATGTCTCATACTTCTTATGTCTAACCTAACAGCACTTACTTCATGATTACCTTCTGAAATGGCATCAAACATTTGCTAATTGTATTTTGCCATGGAATGCACAATACACTGCTTATCTGGGTGAGCAAAATGCCCAGGACTATGGAAAAAAACAGGATGTGGTAGGCCACTATGTGATGGTGACATATCATTTATAGGCCCCGGGTTAGATTTGACATCACCAGACATCATAATAACGCGTTGATGGTAACACAGATAGTATAAATCGTTACTTGAGGTAGCTTTCGATATATCAAAGGCACGGTTAATATCACTGCAAGAAGATGCAAATGAGTCATGAAGAGTTGCTCTAATGATATACTAATTTCAGTTATTGACAAGTTCTCCATTGAATGTGTTCATCCTAAATGAGTCTTGATGTAGCTGGCGGTTAGAACTTGACGATGTTGATTTGACCCAAACTTGTTCTCCTGATTTTACTCTCACTATTGAACCAAAATTATTGCAGCCATGAGATTCATCACCATAGTTAGCATCCGCTGCAATTACGTTACCTTCCAACACCAGGCCAATAAAAGCATATTTTTTATAATAAGCACATGTATGAACAGAAAACTGGTACAGTCCTCCAACAGGTGCTGTGAACAATCCCGTAGACGTGTCGTAACCTGTTCCCTCGTTAGTGAACGTCTTCTCGAATATGAGAATTTCATCCGTTGTATCGAGCTTCAAGTCTTTCAAATGATGTGCGTAGAAAGCGATCGGAGGTTGTTCGAGTTTTCCTGAGAATAGAAATAATATTTTTTTTCCATTTCATATCTTAAATATCTAACTCAAAGGGGCCTTTGCAAGCAACAAAACCTTATATTTATATTCGGCCAATATCTGTAGTGTTTTGATAATTAAAATAATTAAAAACTAGAATGTGTGAATGTAAACAAAATTATCCGGACGTCATATGAGAGTTAGAAATGTACATATGGAGCAACAGAGTTTGTTATATATTATTTACCACGGGATATACCAATAAAACACATGAGTCAAGTTAGTAACAATTTAATTTGCTATGATAAGTTGTAGATAAATAGACATCAAACATAATTGATGTTCAACAGGTAACAATACCTTGGAGTTGAATAAGTTTCTCTTTTTCAGCCTCTATGCCATTTGTCAGGTTTTCTCTTGTTTCCTCAAATGATGTTTTGAACGATTCTGTAATAAAGTATCACAATTCTATTAACTAATATCTAACCAAAGTTAAGGGAATTCTGTACGCAAGCATCCTTATCTATATTTGCTATATTTTCGTTTATCTGTAAAGCATGTATCGTTTATTATCTAAATGTCATTGATTACATGCTCTGGTGATTGTTTAAAGACAAGTAATGGAAATTTTAGGCATTTGAGTCTTTTTTTAGTACAAACTGGTACATTAAATTACATTTTTTTGCAACATGAATAGTTTTATACATTGAATTTAGTTTACAGATACACGTAATTAAATACTGCAGAAAAATATTGTTTTGTTTTTGCTTGTCTCACTTGGACTCAAATTAACAAATGAAAAAAAAAGTTATTAAGATATACAATGTATTTTTATCTATATAACCAAAAAATACTAAACTATACTTTATTAGATACAAGCACAAAGTATAAAATTTATTCGGTAAAACTGTTTCGGTTAACATGTTTTATACACCTCCTTAAAGGGTGCCATTTCGAAGCTAGTTCTTTAGTACATTGATTTAAGTACATTATTATGAGAAACAACAACACCAATTTTATTGTGCTATACAATTGGCTGGGTAAAATAACGTTTCATTTACACAATAATAAAACAATGTAATGAATTAAGTTCCCAGCCAAAATACCTTAAATACAATATGCGCAAGAGGGGGTATGTATAGAGAGCTGTAATTCAGTGTATATATCTCGAGAATATTACAAGAAATAAATCTCATAAGTTAGATTTTGAATTCATCATTTAATTCATTTACTGAGACACCACAAAAATGCAATAGTTTGTATAAAAAGTATTTTAAACTTAGCATTTAAAAGTTTAAATATGCTGTAAGAAATGTATATTTGATTTGATATATTTTTTATTTTACCTTCTCTCTTTTTGATTTCATCACCTCTCTTTAGCATGTCATCCGTTATGTTCCCTCTCATATCTGCAAACATGTCCGTAAAATCAGCAACTGTTTGTTTAATGTCGCCTAATGTACTGATGACATTATCCTCAGTTTTCTTAATTTCATTCACCATTGTTTCTACCTTAATTTCAGTCCTTATCATTTTCTCTAAAAGCTGTTCTTCATATGCAAATTTAGAACATACAGGCTCTCTAGCCTCAGAAAAATTATAACTATATATACCAACGACAATAACCAACACAAATAATAATGAAAATCTCATTTTGATGAGAACAGTTGCAACATAAAATCTGACAAGCTTTCAGAATTGAACACTTGAGAGAAACTGTTATATTTATCTTAAATATATATATATATATATATATATATGTATGAATCTGTATGAATATGAGGCCCGTATATGAATATTTTAGCACAAGTGCATGGAAATCAAAACCGACGAAATATTTATAGGTTTCACAGTGCATTTGAATTTTTATATCATAATAACTTTACTGATAATAAAATCTCATAACTCGAGTCATACATCACATATGCAATTAAAATAAACAACCATTATTAGATATTTATTATTAAAGCGGCTTTCATCTTTTTTTATGGGGTGTGAGAAAAACAGTTCTGTATTGTTTTAAACTAAGTTTTTCGTTCATTTCAAACTGTACAATACATTTTTGAAGAATTACTGCTAGCTTCTTTACAGTCTTTGTAACTAGCAAACCGTTAGAGCAAATGATAAATAACATAACTAAATTGCTACAATTTATTGAAAATGCTTCAAATAATCTATATTGATATCTTTTGAAGACAATTCATCCGTGTATGACATCATAAAACGAGACATTTTTGTCCTCTATAAAAACACCTCTGTATTTATATATAATATGCAGACTTAGTTTACTGTTTATAGCTTCTTATTGGCGTATGTTGTTATTTTGCTTGTTTTCAGGCACTCAGTGTTTTTGTTTATTTGATCATGGCCATTTATACAATCATTTATTTACACCTTTATCCTTTTTTACTAAAAATATAACTGGTTTATTGTTTGTATAAAAGTTTAAACGGATCCCAAGGGATGATTACAAGTGACAAATCGTTATACTAACTTTAAAAACCATTTTGCAAATTGCAAACCCTTCCGCCCGGACCTTTTTAATGAAAGCCTGTATGTCTGAAATGGTAAATGATATCTAACCTAATTGTTATTTGATTAGTTCGTCATGATTATTGGGCCTAGACCTTCAAGCTTTGTCTTTATCTTAAACGCTTTGTTAAGAAATTTGCTATGCTTGAATGATAATTCTGTTTGGCTTAAGTTTCAATTATTTAATCATTGTACAAAATTCAAGCGTAAATTGTTCAAAGACCTGTAACCAGTTCACAGAATTCCGTGCGTTAATTTCACATTGTGATGTGCGAATGGGTAACAACGTAATTATTTTTAACAGATTAAAGATTTGTACATTCTGTACAATAATAGAAAGGTCAAACGTATATATGCCGCCGACAAATTTGCATTACAATATAAGTCAAATCCTTTTTTTCTATTTCTTAACACATGTAAGCTGTTTTCTTTTGCATATACATTGGCTAATTACTTAAAGACACATTATGCTTTTGAAACGAATAAATGTTTACCCCTTTAGAAACGACACACATGAATTTGATGGGGTTCGAATAATGATTTTAGAAATTGTTAGATGCTTGTGACCAAGAAGGAATGAGAGCTGAATGAGAACTTAGTTGTCACAAAAGTAGCAAAATGTACATTAAGTAGTATTTCGACTTCAAAACAAAATACTAAATCACTATATATGTTCAAATTGCCATAAAGCAACAGAAGTGCAGCGTTTCTATGAGCTGATTCCTCTATCTCGGGATACTTAAAATATTCCATGATATAGAATTTCCCTCAGGCTACCTGCCAATGATTTTATTATGTATCGGTGATGTTTCGGAAAGAGATATCAATTTTGAGTGCATAGTTGTAGAATAATGCACAGTTCGAGTTAAATGCACAGGAATATAATTACAAAGGCCAACAGGCGAGTGTTTAATTAAACAAATTTGAACGATCAACCATGTATATGTTAGTGTTCATCCGTGCTGTTCTACAGAAATTAGCAACTTAAATAGATAGAAAGGTAAGAGAAATTATAAAAAAATATGAAACTATATTAGGCCGCTATTCCATTTGTACGTGATCCGTGACCCGCGTCAGTGATCCGTGTCCGGGCATGTCCGTGGGTATTATTCCATAGGTACGTTATTTTCTATATATTTTTATGGAAGTATAGGGAACAGAGGATAATTATTTGTAGAATATGATATAATTTCATTCTAATACCAAACACAGTTGTAACATCAAAGAATACACAGTAAGGTAAAAAAACATTGAATACCAGTTAGGTTTCCAAAAAAAAATCTCTTTAGCAACCAAAGACCAAATGTTGCTTTTTTTAATCTGTCATTGCTGCATCATAAACTTATAGGTTCTCCCACACTATTTTGGTGAGTTCTTTTGCATTTTCTTTCGAAATCGATAAAGTATTTAATTTCTTGTAGGGATGAGACATATCAGTGACTGTCCGCGTCCGTCAAAAATCGCTCATCCTGCGAAACGTCGCGGATGCCGTCGCGGAAGCGGATGGTAAACGGACAAAAGGAATAGATTCAACGTATTCTTTGATTAGCGAATCGGTAGCGGACGCGGATGACGGACGCGGACCACTGATCACGTATTAATGGAATAACGGCCTAAAGCGATGAAGTAATTTACGTGGTGTCATTTGGTTGTTGACGTCATATATGACGTCATAAGACGGTAAGCATTTATTTTCGATCCTGTGCATATATTGTGTAATAATACACTTATCTTATCTGCTTGAATTTATTGAAGCAAGTTAGAATAGAATTTCTTTAAACTTGACATATTGTTAGAATATGATTACAGAATCATTTTAAACGGAACAAATGGGTCACCGTTCTCATTCTCGAGTTATCTGCCCTTGAATTGGACTTTTTCGTTAAATTCAAGGGCAGATAATTTACAATGAAGGGAAACAATGCGATTTTTTGTTTTTATTTTCGTGACGCTTACCTTCGTTTTAGTTGATATGCAAATTTTCAAGAACGAATTTAGAGTGGGTAGTTTTTTTTCCACTTCTTCTTTTAACATGTGCATTTTGGATTAAAAAATGGCGGATTTTTTAAGAATTTAACATGTTTAAAGTACCTTTATTTTATTGTAAAAAAATAACGGAAACAATATAAGGAATTGTATGTAATTATGTATTATCCTCAACAATAAAAAGAAAAATATAATCCAGAAGTAAAAACAAGATTTCATTTAAGTATGTATAAGTTATCTGCCCTTGAAATGACCTCAAATAAGTAGAACATTCTGATTCAGGGGCAGATAACTCAAAAAAATTTTTTTCGCTTGAAATGTTTCTGTTATTATATTCTAACAACATGCCAAGTTTAAAGAAATTCTATTGAACAGTTTTCATTTTGCCTATATGTCTATATGAAAACTCCCGAAAACGTCCTTATGAGAAGTATTTGATTTTCGATCAACGTTTACACTATGGACGGCACGTGATAGAATTACTTACTTCTACTCAGAGAAATAGTCAAGTGAAATCAAAACTGTTGCAAAATTGAGAACTTATCGACCCTTTCAATCAAACAATGAATATGAAAAATACATAAATCTGAATGTTACAAAATATGAACGTTTATTGTTTAGCCAGTTTAGAAGCGGTATATTGGTACTTAGAATATAAAATTGATCGGTATTTAGGAAAAATGGTTGACAAGAGGATAGATTTTGCCCCTCAAACAACGAAAAAGACGAAAAACATTTCCTCTTATAGTGCGCCATATAGAACATATGAGCCGCGTCATGACAAAACCAGCATAATCCGCGCAGTCTGATCAGGATCCATGCTGTTCGCTATCAGTTTCTGTACTTGTTATAGGGTTTGTAAGCGAGCAGCATGGATCCTGATCAGACTGGTCGCAAACGCATTATGTTGGTTTTGTCGTGACGCGGCTCATACATATTTTGGAGCATAGTTCTATCACAAGACTTTGTTAACCTCGAGACGATTGCAAATTAAAACATTTAATTTGTGAATTTCCTAGAATATTGCTCAATTTGTTGTAATTGCGTATCTCCACAGACGTTCTTTTATGTTCAGCATTTGAACCAAATACTATTCACTTATGAAAGACAAACTAAATGTTATACGATATGATAAGACTGTAATGTAATTTAGATTTATTCATGTCTTGACTGTAAATTGCCATATGCACTATTTACAATTACTGTGAGAGTTTAGATACTGTTATCATATTTACTCAAGCATATCAAAATACGTGTATTCCTTTGTAATATTAGACAGAAATAATACTCATCCTTCATTCAATTTAAATTAAATTATAAGCTAAGTGTAGTATTACACATGAAAGTTGTGAAATAATTAGCGGAATCATTTTACATGAACAACTAGAATCTTAAAAATGAAGACCCTATTCTTTCTTTCTTTTTTCTATTTCGCTTCTTAAAGATGTTGATATTAATGATTCGGGGACAGTTTTATTCAAATGCGATAATATAACCACAGGAAATAATGCGAAACATACTCCTTAAACTATAATCAAGAATCAAGAATCATAAATCTAATTTACTAATCCCTCTTCTTAAGTTTGTCAGTGATATACAAATTGACGCAAATGGCATTTAAAAACAATCCATAATATGTATGTAATGACGATATTATTATATGATTTTGGTGGCGAATAGGCCCATTGGACGGGGTGTTATGTTTTTTTTTTGTTCTTGTAGATATGTATTGTAACAGATATGCACATGTCACTAAAATAAAATATTTACTTACTTATCGACTTATAAACACAAATTTGTAGCGAATACGAAAATTATTTTATCATTAATGTATTAATACGAAATGATATAGAGGATATTGAGAGAGTGTACGTTCAATACCAATTTTTAAACTTTGAGCGAGCCTCTGTTGAGGATAGTATCATTAATTTAAAGCGTTCAAAAGATTTGTAAATGCAGCTTTACGACTATAATATTCTATTTAT